GGTTCCTGAATATAATTGTAGTATAATGTACCCCAAACACTATTCTAATTATTAAGGCCCCTATCTTAAAGGCTCTCAGTGCGCTTGAGAGCCTTTGCGGCATCTAGGGCTGGCGCTCAAAGCTTTTAGCCTTTCGGGCCTAGGGGCTTTCAGGGCTTGGAGCTCTTGGATTCACGGTACCGAGTCTAGGGTATTTTGCGGACTCTTCTCCAACTCTTCAGTACAAAAGCACCAAGATGCTGCTAAACTAGGAGGCTTCAGGGGGTTGGGGCCTCATACATCCACCGGCATCATTTTTTACCCGGCGGCCCCGAACACGAATTGGCCGGACCCTTTCCCACTGAGGCCCCTACCCTCGCAACTGCACGGGCTGCCCGCTGCTTATATCAACTTGATACACTAACACGAGATACCTTACGAGCCTGGTCCAAAGTTTAGGGTTTAGCGCTTTGCTTGTATTGCGGTTCCTGGATTACCAAAAGTGTAGGGAGGAAAGGGCCCAAGATGCCATATCCCCAAAACTGCAAAACCTCAAACCCTGGGCCTACATCTGTTTCACCTAAACTGTCACCGTTATAGTACGAGCCCTCAACCTGGACCCTCCCACTAATCCTCAAACAGCGCCCCGAGCCTCCGGTTTGTTGCCAGGGAGGGGGACCTGCCTCGAGGCTATCCAGTTCCCCTGAAGCCACCTTGAGGAAGACCTCCTGCATGAATTTGGGTGCTCTGGGTTTAGCGGTGTGCGTTCTAGTGGGGTTCAGGGGGTTAGATTGGCCGAGCGAAGGCGAACACGGGCGAAAATGGATATGTCCTAGATGCAAAGGGCAGTGAACACGTGCGCAAAGGGCGTCCACACAACCTAACGCCATGCGAAGGCGAACATGAGCGCAAAAGGCAAAAGGCACGCATCCTCAACCTAACGCCACGCTACGGCGAACATGAGCGCAAAGGGCGCCCACTCCCAACCCAACGCAATGCTAGGGAGAACATGAGCGCAAAAGGCGCGCATCCGCAACAAAACGCCATGCTACGGCTGTCGACGATTCGAGATCCGAGAGTACCGTCGACTTGAGGCAAGAAGGATTTGCTCCAAGTGTTTCTGCAATACAGCTTCTGCAATACGAAGTACTCTACACTGTTATAGCAGCATTCCAGCCGCTGCATGATTCCTGAGTTTTGGACGGAAGAAAAGGCGAAAGCTTGGGGAAGGTCCCAGCCTTGGGCCTCTAGCGTTCTGGATGCCCAAACAACCGGCTGATTCCTCGAGTTTGACCATGGACAAGCCATAGTGGGCGAGACCGATGTCTCGACCTCTCCTGGGCCAAGCATGCTTTGAGGCTTTAGGGCTCAGGGATTTCGGGGATTTCAGCCGAAACTTAAATTAAACAAAGGCTTTAATTTAGGGTTTGGAGCTTAGGGTTCTCAGTGTCTGGCTATACGCGTTGAAAGGTTAGGATTTAGATTCGCTGCCTTTGGCGATCTCTTCACCTGGTTTGAGGTTCAGGGTAGGACATACAGGGCCTGAATGATGAGCAGTCCCCAATGATGTTATCCTGCTTGTTCTTCCCCGCTAGATATCTGTATCTTTCCAACAGCATTGTCAGCGTGGTCGCTGCGACTCTCACTTGTGCCACCACTCGGAACCCTGGTGACAAAAAAAACATAGCATCTCTCATTGCAGCTTGGCAAGAACCCTACTCTTAGACCCCCTATAAGCCCCAAACGTTTCCAGAACACCCAATTCTGGTTCCTGTTTTGGCTACATTAAAAATGGTCATATTTCATCCTTACTGGGTTTTATTATAACAAAAATGTAAAATTGTAGCCAACAAGGACCCAGTGTTGAGTACTTCGGCCTCAAGGTCCAGGAACTTCAGAGTTTCAGAGTCAAAGGCCACAGAAAGAACAACACAGCGACTCGGGCTCGGTTTAGGCTTTGGGGTTGAAGGGCTAAGGGTTTCGGGTTCGGGGTTCTTGAAGAGCCATGGGTCTAAATAGGGTTGGAAAGGTTCGCCTACATATAAAAAAAGCCTCGCCAAGAGGACCCCACCCCAAACCTGTAATGTTGAAGTAGCAACCTCTGCGCGTGGTGCGTTGTTATTCCTTCAGGCAATTGGGTTGTGTATTATATATATATATATACTTTAGGTTCTGTTTAAGTGCTCCGGAGCGTTTTGGGTAAGGCAGCTGGCTCCGTGGAACAAGAACGCAGCTTCTGAAAGGGAGAAGCTCTCGACCAGACCCTTTCACTTGCTGTGTTCCTTATGGTGATGCTGTATAGTTATGCAAATTATGGGCTTCGTGTTCAAAGGCATCCACCCATGAACTTGAACTTGCTGGTTGGAATCGTGTCATTTTCAGACCGAGAGCATTTGCTTTCAGGGCTTTGGGGTTTGGGATCCACCTGTGCTTCTTAGACCCTAGAGTGCAAGAGGTCC